TCCCAGGCTCTTTTGATGCCCATCTAGAAGTTTATTTAGTTACTAATGGTGCACTCCCAATCTCTTTGTATTCTCCATAATAAATATTAAGAAATAACCAACTAATCCATACTATAGTAGCAATATCTACAGCATTTATTTTGGTTAATGCCACATTTCAGTTTCTGAGATTCTCTTCCTTTTCTTTCTTAAGGACACAGGTGTGATACTTTATGTTGGGCATCTCTAAAGACATAGATAATAGAAAGTGTTTAGGGATCTGCTGTTTTACATATCTTCATAGAAATGCAACCTCAAAATGAAAAATCCTATATGATGAAAAGCAAATAGCAAAAGTAAAATATGTCACACTTACATCAGCATAGTGGCCAATCATTGCACAACGATGACATTTTTTTTGCCAATAGGGTCTCTCTGTACAGTCCTGGTAACAATGACCGGGCAGGAAGCAGTTTGAACAGTAAGGAGTTAAACAGGAATATTGGAGGTGTCCTCTCCGTCCACAGAGACAACACGCTGGTAGTTTCTAGTTTTAAAGACAAAAACAAAATAAATAAAATATGTGAAAAGAAACAATACATTTTCCGAAAAAAAAATAGCTATCCAAGTTGGTAATCTTAAAAGGATGATACAGAATGTAATATACCATTCAGCAATACCATATAATTGGCTGCAATCAGATCTCAAACTGCACAGGTGATAGATGTAATCACTTAGCAATATGTATTGTGAGCATTGTAACGGTCTATACAAATTAAATTAATCTTTCTTTCACAAGGTTTGCAGCCATGCATTTTATTTTCCGGGGGGCCACCAGGGCTCAGGCACCTGCAGTATTCAATTTCGGCCTCTAAATGTTGGCTTACACCCCTACTGAATCCCACAATATAATGTGTTGATGAGGCCCTGTGCTGCATCATGGGGTGTAGTGGTAATGAGTTTCAGCAACAATTTTTGTAAAAGACAAATTATGCATACTGTGGGTGCTTGGGATTCAGGGGCTTACAGGGTACTCTACAGCAGCATTCTAAATAATGAAAACACATTGATTGGCACTTGAGGGTGTCTACTGCGCTTAAACAGGTTACTATAATTATGAAAATTTGTGAATTTTTTTGTACATTAGCAGAATCTGAGGATCACAAAATCAGAAGTCAAGCAGAATAGCCAGTATTGTGAAGACATTGCTATACTCGTTTATACAGACCAATGATATAAAACACTTCAGGGCACTGACATTTTTGTATCATTCCATATCATCCATTGAATTTTTAGGACTGTCCCTTGGCATTATATTTGGATCCAACATGTCAGAAGTGTTTTTTACAAGTCAAAAAAACCCCCCAATGAAATAGATGTGGAAAAGAAACAAAAAAAAAAGATAGCCGTGTAAACAGAAGTACTCTGTCAGCGACATGAATAGAAACTATGCTTTTTTGAAATATAAAATAAAATTGAGAAAACTGCAGAAAATCTCTTTTTCTGCAGTTTCTGTTCTGATTCAGTAGAAGCAGCTCAGTACTGAGGCTTTCCATTTTTTCACAAACTGGTGATAGTAAATATTTACTATCGTCCAGTTATGAATGGGTAGAAGCCTCTGTACTGAGCTGCTTCTACCCATTCAGAAACTCGTGAACGAACAGGAAGTGATGTAAAGCACTTTCTGTTCATTCATAACTTCGATTATGTCGATTAGTTGTTGCAGCCCTACATAGTACTATGACGTACGACATAATGACGTCATGCCAAAAGCTTTCAATATATAGAATATTAAATCCCCATTCCCATAAGATTTAGTTTTTAATTTCTTATCCTTTAAAGGAGAACTATGGGGTAAGTGTTTTCCCCATAGTTCTCCTAAGGGTCACGGGAGGACATATACTAGCGTCCTCCCATGACCCAAAGCTCCGTATATCGCGAGCTACAGCTCGCGGTATACTGAGACTGCCGCAGCCGGGACGGATCCCGACATTATCGTCAAGATCCACCCAACTGGCTCTGCCTATATAGACAGCTGTGCCCGCCCCCTCCCCTGTCCGTTCCGCCAGTCAGCGCTGGAGAATCGGAGAGGGGAGGGGGAGAATCCCTGCAGGAAGCCGTGACAGTCAAGGCTCTCTGCAGGGAGATGATCGAGAAGTGAGCGAGCGACAGTATGTGTTCACTCACTTCCCGATCTATGGAGCCGACGTGCGACAGTTTAATTGTCACACGTCGGCTCGAACTATGAGGTTCAGGGAAAATCACTCACCTCATAGTTCTCCTTTAAGGGGAAAAAAATCAGGACACCTAAAGAATGGTACTATGCACAGTAATATACATTTAACATCAGAATAAGTCCTGCAAGTACTTTTGTTCCAGTTTGCGATTGAGTGGACAAGGATTAGGCCCCCTGGCAAGTTATTATTGCAGTTTGTATCACAACTGGGGAGATTTAGCCCCTATGTGTGTGTCATACTGACCATTGTCAACGAGACAGAAAGAAAGGGGAAATCCAAAATTTTAGAATTGTCAGCAGAACAAGAGGTGAGGAGAAATGCTCAAATGAGGGTAAATGCCCTAAAGATATTTAATATGGGAATTCCCCTTACTTGCAGGAGATTTCCTCAAATTTATCTCCAGGACAAATAGTGAAGAGAAATCTCCTCAAGGGGACATAGACAGCAAATAAATAAACTTATATGATAGCTGGCTAGACACTGTGATAAAAAAAAAGGAGTGGTAAAGCAGTAAACACCGCACCAGCAATGGTTATTTCTACAGATCTTAACCAAGCTGTTATATGCGAGGCGCTAATATTTAAATTTACCTTTGGAACAGGACAATTCTTAGAAAGATGTCCACGATTGTTACAGTTCCTGCATATAACATGTTTGTCGTCTGTATAGTAACGATTGGACCTTCTTCCAGAAAATCTACCAACTTGAGCCTAAAGAGTTGGAGGAAAAACAAGAACGTCATATAGTACCTACAGACTCATGACATGCACCCAGTAGTAACTCATGCTAGTAGTACAGATTTTTCTGCTGACATGTTTGCATTATCATGGAGATCACAATATGCATACTCAAGTGCAAGAAGTTTCCTAAACGTTTATTTAATGCAAACCTGTATCAACCCTAAACTTATTAACTCAGTACAACACCTTTAAAGCAGAAAACCAAAATGCCTTCCCACCATTTTTTAAGTCTTCTACAGAGCACCCCAAAGGCCCAAAACCCAGTGTATTCAATATGTAAATGATAGTTTCCAGAACCAGTAGGAAATCCCCTCCTCTTCTGTACCATATACTTTGCCTCTATGACCAATTACAGGGGGAGGGAGCATTTATTTAGACACAGAAATTGGTATTTACTTACCGAGAGGCCAGGGGTGGGGGATATAGAAAAGTTTAAGGGAGACAAAGGCCAAAGACACATTTATAGGGTGTGCTGATTAGGTGAGCGGCTTCAGAGGCATCTGGGCTGTTGTGTCCAACTGATTGAAGAGGCAAAACAATAACGGAGAGAGAAGCGCTGCAAATCAGGAGGGGGCTGAAAAGGCTTGGATGCAAGGGTGTGAGTGGGAGAGAAAAGGTCCGTGGTGTAGAACAGTATTGTTTCCAGGGTATGGGTGATAAATTCAGCGGTTGATCCGATACATCCCAGAAAACATAAATATGTGATACAATGATGAGGTCAGCGTATAACGTGGATCAATAAAAATTTAGAAACTCAACATTAGGCAAGGAGTGTAGCTGAGTCATCGGTGAGGGGTGGAGTCTATGAATTCCAAATTCCAAAGCTTCTGGTTGTGGTCTGTTCCTGAATGGGATGTAGGTCTGCTGTTCAGTGGTTTAGAGTGGATGTCCTGGTGGGTGCGGATGTTACAGTGGCAGAACGTTAAGTTCCTTAGTTGCTGACGGGCTGTGGTGGGCAGATCTGTCCTTAGGGGACCTGTCAGAGGAGTTTCGTAGTAACGCCGGGGGATCCCCGTGACAGGGAGATCAGCAGAGTCACACTTTGTGAAAAGGGGGAAGAGGGAGGAGGGCGGGTTGGAGCAACAACGGTGCAGTGGCCGTCAGTGACAGTCCGGTGAGCGACCGGGGAGGAAGCCAGCAGTGTCACACTATGTTTGTGGAGAAAAAAAGAGGGGGGGGTTGGGTATGCCGCGGTGCTGCAGTTGTTAAAGGCAGTACCGTGAGCGACCTGAAGGAAGGCTGGCGGTATCAAACTGTATGTGTGGGAAGGGGAGGGGGCTGAATGTCCGGCGGTGCTGCAGCCGTGTGTGATAGACGGTGAGCGACCGGGGATGATGGAGAGACATGTGCCGAGTGTTCCGGCTGAGTTGCTGTGGCGGGGCAGCGGGTTGGCAAACACAATGAGCCGGCCAAAGTGTCAACAGTCAGGCTGCCCGCATAGCTAGTAACTGGGGAGCTGTGAGGAGCAGCGGTGGAAGAAACTGCTTGTGGCCATTGAGAACACTCGGTTCATGCCCGGAGCTGGCAGATCACACAGGCACGAGTCGGGTGAAGGCTGTGTAGAGCGGCAACGCGTTTCAAAGTCACTGACTTCTTTCTCAAGCCAGGGAGAGGGAGAATGAAATGGCGGGGAAAACTTTTTAAAGGGCTGAAGGAGGACAAGGTAATAATGAGGTGGGCGTGAGTGGGAAGGGGATAGTAACGATGGGCCTATGAGAGAGAGAGGGAGGCGGTCCAATAGACTCAGGGTTCTGAAATGGAGGCAAATATGAAATGCTCAATGTGAAAAAAAGGGAAGGAAAAAAGAAAAAAGAAAAAAAGGAAGGAACATCCCAGGGACCTGGATTGGAGGCAATTTCTGAGATGCTCATTATGTAATGAAGGAGAACTTTTTCAAATGACAGTACTGATTTCAATTTCTTCATTAAGACCATATAGGGACAGTCTATTGAGCTTGTAAATCCAGTATGTCTCCTGTTTACATAGCTGGTGGAATCTTTCTGGTGGGGAGATGTGGTTGGGCATCTGTTCAATAATAAATACCTGAAGTAGTTTTATGTTTTTATTGTATTTGAGGAGAAAGTGTCTGGGGACACTGTGTTCATTGTCCCCCTTTTCAATAAATCTTCTATGTTCCCCTATTCGTTTACGTAGAGGGCGTATTGTGCGTCCTATATAGGAGGAGGTCACAGGGGCACCTTAAACCATAAACAACGTGGTCATGTCCGCAGGTGGTGAATTGGCGGATAGGAAAGGTGTTGCCCGCGGTGTCTTTGAATGTTTTTTGGCCAAGTGTGATGAACTGGCATGTTAGACATGATCTTTTCTTACATTGATGGACTCCTACCCACCCTATTGCCAAAAAGGAAGGTGCGTGTTGGTGCTGCCTTGCTGGGGGCCAATTTACAGGGTGCCACAATGTTTTTGATACTTTTGGCCTTTTTGAACACTATGGTGGGTTTGGGTGGCAGTGACGGGCCTAATTTTGGGTCACACTGTAGTAGTTGCCAGTTCTTTTTCAAAACGGATTCAATGTCTCTGTATCTACTGTTAAACGATGTGCACCGCCGGACATTCAGCCCCCTCCCCTTCTCACACATACAGTGTCTCCCCGCCAGCCTTCCTTCAGGTCGCTCAACGGACTGCCATTAACGACTGCAGCACAGCGGCATACCCCCCTCTTTTTTTTCCAAAAACAAAGCTGGCTTCCTCCCCGGTTGCTCACCGACGGCCGCAGCACCGTTGTTGCTCCAGCCTGCCCCCCCTCCCTCTCCACAACAGTGTGACTCTGTTGATCTCCCTGTCACGGGGATCCCCCGGCATCACTACGAGACTCCTCTGACAGGTCCCCTAAGGACAGATCAGTCCACCACAGCCTGTCAGCAACTTAGGAACTCAACGTTCTGCCACCGTGCAATCCGCATCGACCAGGACATCCACTCTGAACAGCAGACCTACATCCCATTCAGGAACAGACCACAAGCAGAAGCTTTGGAATTTGGAATTCACAGACTCCACCCCTTGCCGATGACTCCGCTACCCTCCTTGCCTAATGGTGAGTTTCTACATCTTTATTGATCCTCGTTATACGCTGACCTCATCATTGTATCACACATTTATGTTTTCTGGGATGAATCGGATCAACCGCTGAATTTATCACCCATACCCTGGAAACAATACTGGTCTACACCACGGACCTTTTCTCTCCCACCCACACCCTTGTATCCAAGCATTTTCAGCCCCCTCCTGGTTTGCAGCACTTCTCTCTCCGTTGTTGTTTTGTGGGGGTATAGAAAGCATGCAGACTTTGGGGAGGAAGCAGTATTTACATAGATACACACAGTGTCCTGGTGCCTGCCTTCATGATGTATCTTGCAGTAAACTAAAGGTGCCCATACACCAAATTGTTTTTTTCGTTCGGAAATCTTCCACGAATGGTCTTTCGAATGATAATCGATCAGTTGATGGACCACCAACGATTTTAACCACTGTACTTCTGGCCAAATTTCCTCGATCAGTTAGACTGGAAAACATTTTTCCGAATTGCACGAAAATGTATGGATTAGTGGCATTTTCGTATGAAAAAAAATCCCAGCAAGAACACTGCACATGCACAAACGAAAATCCGTTCTGTCGATCGACGAAATTCGGGGAGTTAGTATTGTTAGCGAACAATTATCAAAATCGACATTAGTCTGTGTTTGATGGGCTATTTAAGCTAGAATCGACCAAGGGTTCTTGGCAGCAACAACATTTTCCGATCAAAAATCTATAGGTGTATGGACAGCTTTAGGAATGCAAGTGAAGGAATCACTGAAAACCTAATGCACAGTGTGGATTGGCAAGACCTCAGCACAGAAAGCAGCTTATGCAGCTAAGTCTAGAGAATATTTTCTGTATTGCAAGAAACCAATCAGGATGCAAATATGGGAGCTGCTGACTTGTTTTCAGAGGTGCGGGCTCTGGAGCTGTCATTCTTATCTTTCCTTCACCACTAGGTGACTTACAGACCTAGAACCAGCATGTGCTTATCAGATGTCATGACAACATACTGTTAATTTATTATGAGATCCGACTCATCTTTAGCAATACTGTACGTACAAGGCTATAATAACATTATAATATAATCAAATACATGAAATCATAAAAATCGGGACCCTGGCACTAAGGATAAGAAAACGCTTGTTTTTAATATGTATAATAAAAATAAAAAAACAGTTGAATCTTTATTATTTTCCAATATATACACAGTATCAACACTCGGACATTATTATTAAGAGACAACCATATAATATTCCTCTAATATTTAAAGCATTCTTCCCCTTACAGGTCTCAGCTAAAATGAAGCCAAAAGAAAGAAGAAAGAAACATTAAAAAAAGAAAAAAAAACTAAAACCCTCCCAACCCTAAATAATGTCTGTATGTTTACACTGTGTATATATTGGAAAATAATAAAGAAATATTCTAGAAAAAAAATGAAAACAGTTAACTTCACCTCCAAATCCTTCTTACTAATTGACCAGTCCATTTCATTGTCACCTACAAGAGAAAAAAAGAACAATCAGTAACAGGTCGTCAAGTACGAACACCATGATAGCAAGTCATGTAAGGTTTTAACGTGAACCTGACCTGCTCCTAGGTAACAAAACAATAGTTAAAGTACTTAGTCTACAAGCTAGTAACAGTGTCCCTGTTGAGCTCCTTGGATCAAAAGCCCACGCTGTACACAAGACCTCAACTTCTGGCCAGGACAGGATTAAGGCCCTGCACCTCTAAGCTGCAAACAAGGTGATAGCATAGCCAATACCTAATTGAAGCTGCTAGTTGTCTGACAAGTATAGTGGCCCAATGGGTTTAGTAAGCTTTGATTTAATGACCTGGAACAAGTGTGCATACCTGTCAAGTCATTGTAAAATTAGATGTCCTTATTTGCATGCTTGTTCCAGGTAAGGAACACAAAGTATTGAAGAAAACAATAGACATGACCACAGGAAAACTAACACTTGTAGAAGAACAGCATAAGCAGCCTCCTCGTCTCCTACAGAAAGCGTTTCTTATAGGCCTTGCTCACATAGGCTTCTACATGTATAAGGGTAGTGTATATATGAAACGTTTGCAAAACATTTGTAAAGCTTTAAGCAAGCTTTTAGGAAGTTTGGGGAGGATAAACATAGATCCTAATGTGAGCAAAAACTTTTAATGCAAAGTCAACCTGTTCCCAACTATTTATTTTTAACAACAATCATCACATAAGATCATATACACAATGTAGACATCCAAAAGCCTGGAGACTGCTGCTGGGTGCCGCCATCTTGGATGTAATGTCAGTGGCCCCAGAAAGAGTCAGAGCTCGTACGAGAATCGTGCAGTGTGAATGAAGACGTGCGACCGTTTCTACTGTACGGTCGCACGTCTTTTGTCTAAGGAGCACGCTAGAAAACCAGCCGAAAATCTTGCGATTTTCGGCTGGTTTGAACGGCGCTCGGGAGTCAAATGACGAACGGGCCGGTGTGCACACTGCCCTTTCAGCATTGCGGTCATCGGAAGCCCGCCCCTCAGGGGGGCGGGCTTCCGATGATCGCAAGTTTGATCTGCCTGTCCAAGATGGGCAGAACGTACGTTTTTGTTTAAAAGGCTGTAACTGAAATAACATAGCACATTGTCAGAAATCAGATTACTAAGGGCACATTCAAATGGGTGTTCGGCAGTGAGAATCTGCGATTCTTGCTGCCAGAGAAAAAAATAAAAAATTGCACACAGTGTGCAAACAGCCACAGCCAGCATTCTCATGGACAGACATGTACCCTGAAAAAAATCAATGGCCAGTACCACCACTGTTCGCATGTAACCGCTCATACCTGCAGTTATATGAGAATAGGACTTCTGGCCAGTCCTGATTGCAAAGAGTTCTGGCAGCACACAAACTGGAAGTAGCTAATCATCCACTTTGTTTGTGGCCATAGCACAGAGTGCTGCTACGTCCAAATGTGGAGTTTAGCCGCATCTGAACACTGCAGTCTGCAGAATGTTGTGCAGATAGACAAATGCAGCATATGCTTTCAGGTGCATTCAGCTCACATTTGAGATGGGAGACTGTTCTGAGGTTATTGACAGGTGCATTTAACGTACAGACGACTATCTTCTGACCTGCATTTTACATTTTTCAAAGTTGCATCAACCTGTTTTAGCATCTCCATTGACTTGCATGGCAGCAAATCAGTTCTGATGCAAGGAAAGCTCATGCACAGGCCCCTTTTTTGTTTACTGTTTACATATTCTTAACATGCATTAAAACAGCTTTAAACCCCCCTGCACCATTTGCCCAGGGCTATTCTATCCCTCCTGGATGTCTGGGACCTTCATGACAGATGTCAAGCTGTAGAGGTGAAAAAGAGGTAAGCAAATATCCTTGTGCTAATCCTCCCCTGTGGAGAACAAACCTGGAAGTGACAAGCTCCAATCACTTCCGGGTTCAATGCTGTCATTTCCCAGACTCTGTAGACAGAGAAGCTGACGGAGCTCGGATTAAGCTTGATTAGTTACAAAAGTAGGCATTAGCAGTGTGACAGACCCCTGATGTCTCCCTATAGGGAACCTGTCACCTGCACAATCACATAGGGGCTTATTAATAAAAATAACAGGCAATAAACTTTTTTAAAGCCCCTCCCATCACACACCTCTAAATGCAAAACACGACCCTCGGGTGCACCTGCATATGAAAATTACAATTACAAAACACATATTAGGTATCACTGCCCACGCCATAGCGGAAGCAGTAACTCTAGGGCCCTTAACATGGTTAATTTCAAATTGATGACCTGTAAAGGCTTTGAAAAGCGTTGATTATGAACAATTTTGGTTACCAATGTTTTCTGCCATTTCACTGAGGCATGCAATTTTAAAGCTTGACATATTTGGTATCCATTTACTCAGCACACTTCATTATATTTTACCATGAAGTGGCATTATATTGTGTCTGTGTGTACTAAAATTAGTTTAAGTGTATTGTTTACCGAAAATATGGATTTGATAAACAGCTGTGCTGATAATTGTGTGGCACAAAATTGCAACTGCCACCAAAAAAAAAAAACGATAAAGGGTATCATCCGAAAATATATAACATTTTGTGGTGGGTTAAGTAATCTTTAGGCGGGGGCGTGTCCTGCTCATGGCGGAGTAAGCAGCAAATACAGTGAGCTCCGTGGGTTTCATCTCTTTTATACTACTCATACCGACTTATACCCCTCCAGTTTGGGCCTCAAACGATGTCCAACGCAGTAAAGAGGACAAGCCAGCTTTACAACGAAATACCCCCTCGATGCAAGAATTTTTTACCTCCACACGTACTAGGCCCCGCGGCCGGGACCAGTCCATCATGGCCTCCAAGCCCCGTCTCCTACGCACGCCACGAGGCAATGCCCGTTCTCGATCCCCTGCACCCCGCTCTGGGACACACTCACCTCGGACATACGACTCAGACTCCACTGACGCTGACTCGTACCCATCCCACAAGCAGCTGTCCAACATCCCGCAGGAGTTCCGGGCCTTGTTGAACTACTTACCCACCAAAGAAGATTTCGCAGCAATGGTCACCAGAGTGGAGGCGGCCTTACAGCGCGACCTGAGTAAGGTGCGACAGGAGATCCAGTCGGTTTCGACAGAGGTGTCCGCTGTGTCCACCACGTGTGCGGCTCTAGAAACCAGGGTCCAGGCCTTGGAGCAGGCGCACCCGGTGACCTCACCGCATATTGCGGCCCTCCAACTGCGCATGGAAGACCTCGAGGATCGCAACCGACGCCAGAACGTAAGAGTTCGAGGCCTACCGGAGGCAACAAACCCTGCAGACCTCCGCTCCACGGTGCAAGCGATATTTGGCACACTACTCCCCAATACAGCCCCTGACTCCATCCTACTGGACAGGGTGCACCGCACCCTAGGCCCACAGACACGTCCCGCCCAAGAGATGTTGTTTGCTGGCTTCAAGTCTACTCCATGAAGGAAGACGTCCTGCGTCAGGCATGGCTGAAAAAAACGGTTGAATTCGATGGAGCGGCCCTACAGGTCCTGCCGGACCTTTCGCGCAATGCCTTACGACGCCGGGCCCTGCTGCGCCCCCTCCTCTCCTCTTGTTGATCCTCCAGGCCGGCGCCTCCTACAGATGGGGATATCCGATCCGCTTACATGTCCGCAAGGGTGGAGATTCGTTCACGGTCCGATCTCCGGCAGACATCCCCAGCCTATGTGTGTTACTACAGATGCCCCCAATTCAACTACCGGACTGGCTTGCTCATCTCCCCGACGAATCTCCGATGTCCCCGAAACCCCGCCGGCCTATCCGACCATCGCCTAATGCACCTACTGACCGGCGAGAGGCCGATCCTCCCAGCTCCGAAGAACTGTGAACCGGATCGCCAGCCGCGGCCCCTTCTTCGTCCCCGCCAGGCCCATCTACCTGAGCAGATGATTGTCCCGGCCGCAAAGAGGTTCGAAACATTAGGCTGAGGCCTGACCTTTATGTTTGACCGTCTCCACCACCTCCTGTTTACCAGGCCGCATCCACAGGCCCCGGAGGGCCCTTACTAGTATCCTTCCGCAAATGATACTGACGGACTTGTTCCGGCCCCCGGCGGGCTCCGCTAGCCTGCTTACCCCATAGCATGGCTGCGGACGGCTGGGTCCGGACCCTTGTTATGTTCTCGAGCTGGGCCGGGTCCTTCGACTTCCACGGGAGACCGGGGCTCCGGCACTCCAGGTGGCCCATGAACCAACTGCTCAACTCCTATGTTTATACATGTGCCAGTAGCAGAAGTTTATTTCCTATCTTGTTATTATTATGTCAGGTATCTTTCCTCAGGCAATATGGGGGTTAGGTGTGTGTTCACCCCTCCACCATTACCAGAGGCCTTAAGCCGAAGGGCAAGTGTCTGGGACGGGGGCTGGACAGAGGGGGACCGGGGAACCCCCCCCTCCCCGGGATTCGGGTATTCCTCCCTGCTGGTAGCCGGGGAACCCAGGGGAATCCCACACACCCAGGGGCTTCAAACACCGCTCACCCCCATAGCTGGCAGACCGCGACCCCTCTTCCTACCCACCGTTACTGACAGGCCCTCATTAGTTGGGAAAGTTCTCCCCTTTAAGCTGTTCTTCAGTTTTACCACAACCTCAAATGTGGACCCGCGGAGCTCTGATCCGCCTTGCTCAGACTCGTTCCCCCACTAGTTAGTCCCTGCAGTGCTGATAGTGCCACAGGGACTGTGAACCTCGGTTCACCAGTTAGTTCCCGAGACACAAGTGGTCTATTGTTCATTTCCTTTATTTCTATCTGTTTTGTTCTATTGCCTTATTTTTGCCTTCTTTTTGTGTGCTCTCTACCACCCCTGTCTTCGTCTGTGTTCTCTTTCCTAGTGTACTCCAGCCCCACTTTCCTATCCCCCTCCCTTGACATCTCAGCATGTCTTCCATCAGGATCATGTCGCTCAATGTCAGAGGCCTCAACGTCCCGGAGAAGCGGAGGATGGTGCTGGCGGACCTCCACAGTC